AAATCTGCACTATCCCTTGCAACTGTACATTACCCAGATCGCGGCTACGGCCCTAGTCGCTTTCCTTTTCCATCCATGGAGACCAAGCGCTCAACATGCCAGCGAGCAAGACCAACGTAGGAAGCGACCTGTTCAAGGTGGACTGTTATTGGCCGCTTCGAATCTCCTGCAAGCGGTATCTGCATTCTGCATAGTGCAAGCAGTCCTGCATACTTCGAATCTACCGCTACTATGTATGATCACGGTATGTTCTCCAGAGCAAGCTTAACATGCGTTCCGCTGACCAGATCAGACCATAGCCTTCTTCGCTGAAGGTGTAGTCCTCTATGTGTTCAACTACACACCTCGCTCAAACGCAGAAACCCTGTCTTTGAGCTTGCTTGCCACAGCTTGTGCTGGTGTCCTGTTCATGGAATACCGACTGATGGTACCAAGCTTGATCGCATCGATCTTGGCAATGCTCCTCGTTGGTGCAGCAAGTGCATTGAAGAAGCTTGCTGCTAGACACTATCCGGGAGAATGTGCTACCCGAAGCATGAACGCCATGTTGCTCGTTGTTATGGGCGGTCTGCTTGCATTGTTCTGTCTTATTAGCAACTTCCCGGGCGAGCACTGGGACTCATTCGACACAAGCAGCCTGCCTCTCCGCGGTCTCAATGCCTTCTCAACAGCAGCGGCACTGTTGAGTGGGGGCTCGATACTCTTCCCAATGGATATGCAGTCAGGAGGCCAACTACCCGGAAGCAGCTTTGCCGCAACACAACGCGTCCGCAGCGCCACGACAATTTTAGTCATGACAGCTATCACCGGTTCTTTCACCGTCTTGTCAACGCGCCGATCCTACACCAGCTTTTACCAACTATCATGCTTTTTCCTTGCCATCATGTGCGCCTGCGGAAAAGACATCTACGACACAGTTTGGAAACAGTCCAGTCGTCACGATGACTCCCGCGGAAGTTACGATCTCGTCTCACGCTCCCCGAATGCACCGATCGATGACGAAGAGGATTTTGATACCAAAGCACAACGAGCATCACGGCCAAGATCCCAGGGCAGCAGTGCTCGCTCTTCTTTAGTCAGCTTGATCTTGATCGTGCTGTGGACAGCATTCGTGAGCTTGAACTTTGGACAACGACAATACCCTCGTGAGGAGCCGCGCCTAGATCTGCAATACGAACCCATTGGGCCTTTGGAAGTTGTGATCAGCATGTACAAAGAACGCACTGAGGATGTTGCTGCGCTGATCAAGAAGTTGGAGAGCATGCCACAAATGACCGAGGCTCTTGTTACGATTTACCTGAAGGACGGCGAAGCAGACGAAAGAAAGATCAAAGCGGAAACGAACGCGCACGAAGTCATCAAGCTACCAAACATTGGACGCGAAGCCGAGACTTACCTGAACCACATCGTCAACCGCTGGGACAGCCTTGCGGAACGAACGATTTTCCTCCAAGCCGACGTTCACAACCCACGAGAATTCTACCCATTCTTCGAGCGATATTTCCGGGCGAACCAGACAGGCTTCCTCAACCTGGGTTGGGCGGGGATATTATGCAATGGCGACGACTGTGGGGACAAGCGCGGCTGGCGCGATGAGACATCGCTGTTCGCGGACGTACAATCCCGGATCGACGGATCCACTCGTGAGAACGTGCTGCTCAGCTACAAAGGCCAGTTCGTTGTCACTGCTGCGCGCATTCGCGGTATCGACAAGTCCATCTACGACGACTTGTGGCAGCTCTTTGTCGACGAGCACAGCTGGGCACACCAAGAACCCTACCTTCAAGAACGACCCGATTCGATGAGCCAACCCTGGTTCGGATACACAATGGAGAGGATATGGAATGTACTGTTTCAGTGCTCAGACATGGATGTTGCATGGCGATGCCCGACTCTGTTGAGCGGGTGGAGACCTGGTGGTAGCATTGCCGACTGCCAGTGCTTTGATTCAGAATCGGCTGTGTAGGTGGAGAAGCATGCGTAGCGTCTGAGCATTTTTTGTTTGTTTGTTGTGATACCCCTAGACGTCGAAAGGCGCAACGCGATGACGCGAATTTCGGTCGCTTGTTGTTAAATATAGATGACGCGCAATAAGGCGGAATAATAATAGTTTCCTCAGATTCAGTGCGCACAACCTGGGAACGATCATGATTCCCGTCAGAATGCCATACACGCGAGCATGCTTTTTCCTGCCTAGCGGAACAGCATGGCTGTGGAGCCCGCGGACGACCATGCCACGCAAAAAATGTCATCCCAAAGCGTTTGAGGTCTTCATGCATCCAAGGGCTGCGAATGCAGGAGGTTCGAAGCGCCAAGCTGAAACACTCTGTGCCGGCCAGATCTCGCGTTCCCGTTTGACACGTGATACAGACACCCCACTTTCAATGCTCGCACGGGTGCCGCAATCGATCCTTGCGCACAGGCGAGCCACCACTCACACATGACTCGGCCGCATTGCACAGCCATGGCGTCGCAGATACTCTCCTTTCTCTCGAAACGTTCCATAAGATCACTCGCGGCGACGTTTTGTACCTAGCCGACCAACTTCCCATGCTCACACAGGGACATTGCCCGTCTTCGAGCTCTGGAAAGCCTGCGGCGAACCCCGTATATTGAACCTTCTAATACTCCGGGATACCAACCTGCAACCACTATCACATCTTCGGGAACTAAACGACAGCGTTCCTTCCATTTGGAACTAACGGACCCTGCATACGCCATGGCGACCATACAGCAGCGATCGAGCAATAAGCTCTCAGTCTCTTCGAACAGAAGCTCCGATGGTCTCTACAAGCATCGTCAAAGCATGCTCTTCCGAGAACTGGAAATTCTGCTCGAACTCACACCGAGCACCTTCAGCTCACCACTTCTGGCCCTTCCAAGAGAGATCCGCGACCAAATATTCAACTACGTGTTACCTGATCCGACAAGGATTCGTCCGGAACTTCACACTTGCCTCTGGGGTGCTGAGATGTCCAACGGAGAACCCTGGAGACACGACATCTTTGGATATGGATCCTCCGTAGCCAAAGCATCACGACTACGGCCTGAGCTTCTCTTAATCAACAAACAAATCCGGGACGAGCTGCTGCACAACTACTTTCGCCGCAGCAAGATCACTCTACATGCTGAACTACGGAATACGCGGACGAACAACGACTATTTCGAGTTCTCGCAGCACATCCTGCAACTGCCCATGTTGAAGCATGTAACACATATACGCTTCTACGTTGAATGGAACTACACGACGCTGAAAAATGGAGGAAGGGATCGTATGATGAAAGACCAGACACGTATGACGAAGAACCTCCTCGCCTCCATGGACAAGATCGCCCTGTCACTCCAGTGCATCGAGACGATCGAGCTATCAGTACTCTTCTTCTGGAAATTCCGGAGCGGGAAAATGTACAGTCTTTCCATGCAGGACCTCTTTGACCTCGAAGACGTGTTCAAGCGCTGCGCAGAGCTGCCCTGGCTTGGTTTACTCGGCGAAAATGACGTGCCTGGAAAGAAGAAGACGACTACTTCTACATACCTCAGCCCGACTTCGGCAACGACGAACATTTCGGCGGGTGTGGGCTACAAGATGTCGACAGAGAAGAAGGGTACTGAACAGAGTGGAGGCATGGAAATTTGCATCAGCCGTGACCTGGAAGATGCGATGGAGGAGAGGAGAAAGAGTAGTGTTGACTTTTTCGGCAACTACGAAGTCACAGAGCCTTTGCCTCAGCCTTGTTATCGGCATGGTGCCATGATATGAGGTGAAGGCCTCAAAGGAGTATTTTGTTTCATGAAAGGAACATTATTGGCCTTTGGTCGAAGAATACCAGACTCTATCAAACGACGGCACTTCTGGCACACGAGTCCCGGTCTTAAAGCACCTGCTTCGCATGCAGTACCACAATCTGATTATCAACGCTACCACAACGCGAAAAACACCACCACCTACAATACCAGACTTAGGGCAACAACCGCTGTATGCGCAGCGCTTGTACGACGTTCTCAGCACACAAGCTAGTCGGAATGGTTTAGTTTTCACGAATGCGAGAGCATGATGGGCTCGGTTCCACAAGCTCTCCACCGCATAGTAAGCAGGGACTGAGGTCACGAATCCGCCAGTAAGGGCAGTAGTATGACCTTGGCCATGCTAGACCCACCAGAGGGGTATCACATCCCGAGTTGTGGCGTGCAATCTACACTAGGCCATGGGGCTCGGCCGAGGCCACTCAATTTGTTGCTAAGCAAACGCGGGGAAGATGGAGAGGGACGGAATTCGGCAAAGATATCGATTTGAGACTGCTGAATTTGAGCTGGAGTAAAAATCGCATGATTGTTGTAACAACATCGTGTTCTGATGCCTCTGTTGTTGTTCTTAGTGATACTCTCCAAGAAGCAAGGTGCAAAGTTGTGAGTGGGGATGACGCACTATCTCGGTTAGGCCTCACGGTAGTCTTCCGCGTCTTGGTGCCCCATTACTGTGCTCATGAACGACACTGTTCACAGTCGTACTGCAGTAGAGTAAGCGGCAATAAAGTTATGTCTTTCTTGGTATGTTGTAGAGTTTATCGGAAGCGCTGCACCTGTGTTGGACCCTTGCTGCGTTGCACCCAACGGAATTAACGCTCAAAGATCTTCACCGAGCAAGCCACAGAACATGCGGCAAGCAGGTAGCCGCAACCGATGACACCTCTCACTACCGCTAGCTGCATTTCACTCGTTCTTACTTAACGTTGGCCTCCGTAGCTACCATCCATGGCGCTGTTGTATTCTACCCTCCCCCGGATTCAAGCCATTCGAGGCAGCCCGTTATCCCCGGACACCCATGTGGACGAGATCTCCACATGCCAACATTATTAGCTTGATAGCTTTCGCTTCGCTGTTTCCGACAAATACATTATAATTGCTTTGTACAACCGAGTGACGCACGACTCAGCGGTGACGCATAACATATAGCGATTTCGTTACCCTCTGAGCTCATACAATCTCCACGAGCCATCAGCATGCCGCAACCAGAACCACCAGGATTATACCGCCATCCCACAAGAAGCGAGATCATCGACCTAGCCGCAGCAGAAGGTCATGATGCAGATATCCCGAGCAACCTCGGCTCGATACACCAAGTGCCTAGCCGTACATCGGAAAGACGGCACTCGCTAGATGAGAAGAAGGGCGAATACACAACTGGCGAAAGAGATGTTGAAAAGGGGAACGGCTCAGGTTCAATCTCCAGTGCAGACCAACCCGATGCAGAAGAGGAACCTGAACGCGATCCGAATGTTGTCGACTTTGACGGTCCTAACGACCCAGAGAACCCCATGAACTGGAAAACTTCAAAGAAATGGGGCATGGTCGCGCTCATATCGGCGATTACGTTCCTAACGCCTCTTGCGAGTTCGCAATTCGCACCCGGTGTGCCGGAGGTTATGCGCGACTTCAACTCGACGAGCGATCTGCTTGAAGGTTTCATGGTGTCAGTTTACGTTTTGGGCTTCGCTTTTGGGCCATTGATCATCGCACCACTTTCGGAGATGTATGGTCGATTGCCGTTGTACCATAGCTGCAATTTTCTGTTCATTGTCTTCACAATTGCAGCGGCTGTGGCGAACAACATGGCGCAGTTTGTTGTGTTCCGATTTCTCATGGGCTGCTTTGGAGGAGCGCCCATGGTACTTGGTGGAGGAACTATCGCGGATTTGATCCCAAGAGAGCAGCGTGGTACTGCCATGGCCGTCTGGATGATGGGTTAGTAATATCCATGTACGAACTGTATGTGAGACAGACACTGACTTCGTACACTCATCTTTAGGTCCAACGGTAGGGCCTTGTGTCGGTCCAATCATCGGTGGCTTTTTGACTGTAGCGAAAGGCTGGCGATGGAACTTTTGGTTCGTCGCTATAGTGGGCGGGGCATTCTTCATCATGTCACTCATTCTGATGAGCGAGACATCTGGCATCATCATTCTACAACGGAAAGTCAACCGCCTCAAAGCCGAAACAGGCAACACGAAACTACGATCTAAGCTGGACAGTGGCCTCACTCCACGCCAGCTCTTCAAATTTTCAATCATCCGACCAGCCAAGATGCTGTTCCGCTCAACTATCTGCTTCGCCATCTCGCTCTACATTGCGATCACATACGCCTATCTTTACATTCTGTTCACCACCTTCACTGCGGTGTTCAAAGGACAATATGGCTGGCATGGCGGCATTACTGGTCTCTCGTTTCTCGGTCTCGGTATTGGCTCCCTTATCGGACAATTCACTTACATCCACTATGGCAACAAAGTGGTACACAAGCACATGGCGCGCGGCGACTTCCGCCCTGAACACCGGCTGAAAATGATGTGCATCGGTGGCTTCTTCATCCCTTGCGGTCTCTTCATCTACGGTTGGAGTGTACAATACCAGACGCACTTCATGGTGCCCATTGTTGCAACAGGCATCATCGGGTTTGGTCTGCTGATGACGTTCATGCCTGCGACTACGTACTTGGTCGACGTATTTACTGTCCATGCGGCGAGTGCTATGGCAGCGAGTACAGTGTTGCGTAGTGTTGCAGCAGCATTTATCCCACTGAGTAGTCAGACGATGTATGCGCAAATGGGCTACGGTTGGGGCAACACTATGCTGGGGTTCATCGCTACGTTACTGATCCCGATACCATTCTTGTTCATCAGGTACGGAGAGAACATCCGCGCTAGAAGTACAGTCAAACTATGAACACATGCTATGAACTGTAGACTTAGATAGACTCATATACAATAGCAAACCAAATTCTGTGCCTTGGTCTTGACAAAGGGCTGATTCGGTCATGATCCACGACTCCCGCTACCTGACTCGTATAGGCTATATGCAGCCTCGGTGTGTACTCCGAAGCCCCACCCAAGGTCTTGTTGAGCAACATTGGAAATACGACGTCAATAGAACCCTGGCCGCATCTTGCCATAAGTAGAATCCCGGAAGTAAACATTGGTTCCGCAAGTGTTCTATCAATCGCTCTGATTGCGCCTTAGTCTCCTACATCAACACACCACTCGCTCCGCCGCTCACGGAAAGTAAGAGCTACTTCACCATGGCATCCTCACTACCAGAGTCCAACACATCTCTCACATATACGCAACCCTCATCTGAGCCACATCTCACACATACACCCATACCAAAGCCAGGTCCCCAAGAAGTCCTAGTGAAGATCAAAGCCGCAGCAATCAACCCCGTCGACATCCAACTATGGGGAAACCCCATGATCGGCTGGCTAGCAGGCAAGAAAGAGAAAGGAATAGGACGCGACTACTCTGGAGAAGTCGTAGCCCTGGGCGAAGAAGCAAGTAAAAGCGGGAAATGGGAGGTTGGTGACGAAGTCTCTGGATTGTGTAATCGACCTGTAAGTTAATCTTGTGCCTGGCATTGCTTTCGCTGCAAGACGAAATACGTTAGAACTAACGTGGAACAGATGGCAGAAGGAACATTCACACAACACCTCTCCATCAACCCAACTTCAGAGCCCATCGCAAAGAAACCAACTACCCTTTCCCACCACGAAGCCGCCGCCATCCCTCTAGTCGTCCTAACAGCCTTCGCCTGCCTCGACTGGCTCCCCTCCCCATCCAGCTCCCCATCCCCCTCCCAACGCCGCGTCATCGTCTCCGGCGCCAGCGGCGGCGTAGGAATGTGGTGCGTGCAACTCGCCAAAAAGCTCTATTCCTGCCACGTAACCGGCATCTGCTCCGGCTCCAACGTCGATTTCGTGCAATCCCTCGGAGCAGACGAAGTCATCGATTACCGCACACAAGACGTGCCCAACTCGCTTCTTTCCAAACGGCCCGGCGGCACGAAATACGATTTGTACATTGATTGTGTGGGCGGCACGGAGATGTTTGCGCATTGGAATGAGTTGCTTCATCCGTCGGGCGCGTATATTACTATTGTTGGGGATAAGACTTCGAGGACGGCGATGGGTGGGCCGTTGACGTATTTTACGTATCCGTCGCAGGTGATGAGACATGTTTGGGGGTACTTCTTTGGGCCAAGGTATGCGAATGTGATCTTGTATCAAAAGAGTGAGCTGCTGGAGCAGGTCAGAGAGTTGGCAGAGAAGGGCGAGGTGAAGGTTGTAGTACAAGATGTCGTTAAGGGGATCTTGACAGAGGAAGGATGTAAAGAGGGGTGGGAGCAGGTCAAGGGGTATATGGTCGAAGGAAGAGTTAGGGGGAAGATCGTTGTTGATGTTGCGTAGGTTCTATGATCAGTGAACCAGACTAGCAAACAAAGTGTAACGATCAATTAAAGCAAATTACCATCTATGTACTATTGGGTGTATCACGCCGGGTATCAAGGGGGGTAATGAGACGCTTGAGCACGTATGCTCAGACGTTAAAACGAGAGAAAGAACTGTAAAGGAATAAATGTTGACAGATCCATCAAGGAGATCCTCACAGAAAGGCGACGCAGATGTGAACCTTGTTCTTTGCCAGAAAACGCCCGCCCGTAGCTAGCCCCTGCTCAGCTGTTTTTCGTGAATCCATAATCCAGTCGTTCGAGTCGTCACCGTAGAGCTCCCATTACCCAGGTCGTTCAGTCGTTGCCGTGAGACAATCAGTTGTACTTCAGGAAAGTCGTGGGCTCCTGCTGTGTGGCGGCTGCAGCAGGAATCCTGGCGTCACCGACGGTTGTCTTGGGATATTCACCCGGGACATGCAGGTCGCTAACGCTGATGTCAGTGTTCATCCGCTTACCCATGCCAGGGTGCGCCATCTCCTCTGCAGTATCCACGAGGCCCACTGGGACGGGCCCGCCGTTGACAGTCTCGCCGAAGGCAGGTGCCCCTACCTCAGACTCGCCTAAAAAAGACGAAGTAGCTCCTGGTGTATCCAACCCGCTTACATGCTGGGATTGAGTGTGGCCATCGAAGACAGGCGCAACGATCGGAGCAGGGGTTGGCTGCACAGCAGGGGCGACGTAGCCTGTATCGTCGATTTGGTCGGGGAGGATATGGTCAGGATGCCGCTCGGGGACTTGCGTAGGGGTGGCATCTGGGAAGTCTACCGCGCGAGATTGTTCGACCGGATATTGCTGCTCTTGGTTGAGCTGCTGGGCCTCGTAGTGTTGTTGCGCCAATTGCTTTTTCCGCAATGCTTCGTTTGCAAGGGCTCCGGTGGCTGCACTCCCAACAGCAGGCGCCAACCAGTTGCCGTAATGAGTACTGTCTTTGCGTTGGATAGGCTCAGCATGTTCCAGGGATGGCTTGTTGTACTGGTCGACCGAAGTTGGCTGGACAGGGTAAGCCTGAGAAATGGGCGCGTATGAAGGGGCGTCGGCAGTCTGAGGCGCGTATGCCTGCTGGGCGGGTGGATATGGGTTTACGAAACTGGTCTGCGGTTGATGTTGAGCGGGCTGGATATACTGGACTGGCTGGACGGGCTGAGCAGGTTCGGGCTGGTAGGCTGAGGTTTGGGCAAGATACATCGGGTGCACATCCTGTGTCGGACCTCCAGACATGGTGTTTAGATCATTGCCGACCTCTGAACTTCCGCTAGAAGGCGATAAAGGCGCTTGTAAGTTACGGTTGACCATCAAATCAGACGGGAATCGCCCACCTGGAGAAGGTCGGGAAGGTCGCTCAGACTGATCCCGGTAGGCCTGTTCCTTCATGGACTGGTTGGCTGAGAAAGGAACCGCGTCGGCCTCGTCTTCCTCTAGTCCGCCATCCGAGCTGGCTGAACGGGCGCTGCCGGCGCTGGTACTCCTGACGCTAGCATGGCGACGGACAAAGGCGTTGCGCTCTTCTCCACTCTTCTCAGTCAAGGCCTTGATATCTTCAAACCATGCGACCATGGTATCGTACGTCTCCGCCCGGAACACCCAAGTATGGCCACGATGCATGGATCCAGCCTGACGGCCTTTGATAACGAACTTGTGGGAGGAACTTCCGGGCTGGGAGCGAGAACCAAGCTTCTGGTCTGGCAGATATAGGGACATGACTGGAGGCTGAGTGTAGATGCGGTCGGCGGATTTGAACTCGTGGAGATGCGTTGGCGACAAGACGTACCTAGAAAGTGTTAGACTGGGAAGGTTGTCGAGACTAAGTTGCTTACCATCCTGGTGTGTACGACTTGAGATACTTGCTCTTCCGCTCGAGCATGCCCGCTCTGACCTCGGTGGTAGCAGGGTGGTGCTTGCCAGGGTACTGGATATCTTCCAGTCTGCGCAACGGCATGTCTGGGTTGACGAAGTGAGGGTCGCTTCGCACAAACCTGCTCCATTCGAGATCGCGCGGCATGGCGATGGGGCCATTGCGCAACCGCTCTACCGTGTTGTACTGCTCATCGGCATCGCGCTTCAAGATGGTAGCAAGAGCGTTGTAGGCTTTCTGGACTTCGCCAACGACGATCGACTCGAGTTCGCGGCCGGAGTTTTCGAGGTTGAGGTAAGCCTGTAAACGTTAGTTGAGTCGCCCCTACAGGTGCGATAACTGACCCTGTGGAGGTAGTTCTCCTCATCGATCTGCCTCTCCACCTGGCGCTCGACACCCAGACGCACGACATAGGGATCTCCCTTGCCTGCAACTGCCGTGGGGTCGGAGTCGGCCAAAGCCAGCGCCTCCTCGAGTGCTGTTACACACTTCCTTGTCGTCTCCTTTTCCTTCTCGACGTTGTTCTTGAAGTCGCCAGACAGTGACTTGATCTCCTTGATCTTCTGCGCCAGATCAGCCCGGAGGCCGCTGAGCTGGTTGATGACGTCGGCCTCAACGTCACGCGCCTTGTTGGCCTCGAGAATGGCTTGCTTGTGGAAATCGCGGAGGATGCGGTTGGCGTCGTTCAGGCCTCCTTCTATGAGGAGGGCGGCGGGGGCGTTCGTGTTGTTGATCACGTTTGATACCTTCAACAGCGATTTGGCGCGGTGCTCGTATGAGGATGCGACCTCGCGGAAGTAGGTAATGAGGTCCTTGAGAAACTTTCGCCAAGCTGTCAGACGTCAGTACGTTTCACGAATCTGTCACGTGCCCAACATACTCTGGAAGCGTTCTGCTAGTATCTCGGTGGGGGTGCCCTTGGTAGGCACAGGAGTGTAGAAGACACTGTCCTCGCGATCGTAGCCATGTTCCTGGTCGTCAATGGTCACTCCGCGGATAGATCCAGCATGCATCGATCTCCTGCTTCCACTACGCTTCATGCTGCTTGCCCTCTTGACAGAGTTCTTCTTCTTGAGCGTGCCACTTCGCGAAGGGGTTGCGCCCTGGTTCAAGGTGGAGGAGCGCGAGGACGAGCGCTGGTGCATATCACCCTCGATGACGGATGAACCACGTGTGCGCGCATCGAAGTCCTCCTCGAACCGCCCCAGGCGCGAGCGCTCATTTGGCGCGCTTAGTGGTGAGTTTCCAAAGTCATTCACGGCGGAGGTGCCGTAGCCGCGGCTGAGATGGGCTGGGTCGTCGATGTGCGGTACGGGGTCGTAGGAGGCCGACGGGGTGACTGGGCGCTGGGTCGCCATAGTGGGAACTGCCTGGTCGTGGATATTGGCTGCGGCGACGGTAAGGTAGACCCTGACGAATATATGTAAGAAGACGTTCGCAAACAACTGCAACCCTGAGCCGCGTTCGCTGTGGCTGGCGATGACGTGTGGAGTCGCGCTAAGGGGTGAGATGCCTCGGAGGGGTCGAGGCGCAGATTGCGAGAGCCCGAACCGACATGGCGCCGCAGATCAATCAATACTTACTGCTCGGAGTGCAATTGTGTCGCAAACTGCTCAATTTGATGGATTTAATGTGAGCCTGAGGGTGCTTGTGATGTCGAGAGGCAGATGCCGGATGTGAAGAATAAAACCATGGCCTTCCACGGCGGCTTCGCGGCACTGAAGAGGCTCACAAAGATGCTTAGGTGATGTCATGTTCCCTTCAATGCTACGCCCTCAACACCATCCGGACATGATCGTCATCGTGCAGCAGTGCCCGACCCTTGAATCGTCTTAGTCTGTGGCGCGGCTGTTACACTTCGGCCTATCATGACTTGCTTGCATTTCCATCCATTGCGCCGTTACTTGCGCCCGTCACATCGAATGTCCTAGCAGCTGTCACATGCAGGCTCGCGGAACACGTAGGCGACACAAGAGGGGCTTCGTGGCCTGCCAACTTCTTCACTTTGACAATCTTGGTCTCGATAAAGCTTCTCGGTGACTTTGCAGCCGCATCGTCCGTCGCCACTTCCATCGCCGCTGGCCAAACACGTGGAGATTCAATGTGGGGAGAGCACAGCCGAACGTGCCGACCCAAGTCTGCCCAGCGATTTGCATTCATCCTTCCGCAGATCAATGCAGCACGGCGGCAATGCCGAAATTCTTTCTCCGTCCATCTTGCTGCGAGCTGCGCGTCTCTCGTGGGTGGGACCTATCCCATTTTTTCCAGGGGTCCTCTCGTATCCGACCCTCTAACACTAGTTGGACCCCGTAGCATCACTAGCCTACCACGAAGTAACCCAGCGGGAAGCATTGTCGGCTGTACTGCCCCTTTGCCATCATTGGTTATCTCCGTATTCTCTGAAGGGCGAGTAAGATGCAGTATGTCTGTGTTGATGTATCACAGTTGTCCCGCGTACTCATGTACAACTTCGATGGCCACCTGGGCAGCCCAATCAAGACCAGGACAATGCGATACCGACAGAAACATATCCAGCCGGGGGCCGCACCATTCATTGACGACAGTTGTTGGGCTCGCAACTCTGATATCTCGTCTGTGTTGACCGAACGCTACAAGAAGAGACGGATGCCAGACATTAAGCATGCTTTCGAAGAGAAATGGAACACCGATCTTATTACATAGCCCAGAAGTCTATATTGCTTCAAGATGTTCTCAACTTTCGTTTTTCTTACTCATGTAGTCGGCAGTGCAACTGTTTAGTTTCTTACTTGCAAAGGGCGGAAGCACCTAGTCTTGCAAAGAGAAGAGTTGGAGAGGTAAGACTCGGGCGTGGTCAATACGCTGCATTGAGTAGGCATGAAATAAATGAAGTGAAAGCAGTAGCGAGGTGTCACAAGATCGTTTGCATGCCACGACGGGGCGTCAGGCACAGCAACAGTGCGGTGCGCTATGGAATCAATGATAGCCAGAGCTCTGATTTGAGGATTTTGAGAAAGGCTATCGATGTTCTCGGTAGTTTCGTCTACCCTGCTTCTGTATGAGTACTAGACTGGAGGTTTCAGTTCATGATCTGATTTTAATTTCACCACAGGAAAGCTCTACACGCAACTACGCTCTACTACACTTACAACGCAGAGCTCGATACGATCACCGCTAGCGGATATCTCGCTTCCAGGAACCGGTCATGTGTCTTTTTACTCACGGGCCTCAATCGCGAAGAGTATATTAACCGGCCACACACAAACACCTACTGCCAAGCACTGATTTCGGGTACGTGGTTGCACAAAACCATCTATTGCGAAACAGCATATATGACCGGTAGAGTAAATGGAAAACTCTCTGGTCTCATTGGTCTCATTGCATGACTACCGACAGCAGCCACCTCTGCCGTGCTGGAAAACAAGTCTGGGGCGCACGGAGAAATCTTGGAGGCTCTTTAGCGAAGGCTCGCGTGTGGCGTTGTTATATTGCAGCCCAGCGACTGAGATGGACGATAGACAGGTAGAAGCGTCATGCTACTGATACTCCAGGGTCGCGCGGGAATGGGCGTAGGAGTAGGATGGGATATATAAGGAGAGGCACGACACCCAGTGACAGCACCTCATCCGCATCTACAGCTTGATACTCGACCAGTACATCTACACTACTCATTTCCCGCTCAAGATGAGGTTCCTCGCTGTCGCCGTCGCCCTGCTACCCGCTCTTGGGTCAGCGCATACTATCGCTCAGCGCGTCCGTATCAACGGCCAGGACTTGGGCCAAGGCAACGGTATCCGCGTCGCCCCTTCCAACAACCCCATCACCAATGTCAACGACGGCAATATTGCTTGTAACTCTGGTGCTTCCTCTACCGGCAAAGTCATTGATGTCAAGCCTGGAGACAAAGTCGGCGTGAACTGGGGCCACATTGTCGGCGGAGCGCAGTACGTTCTCTCCTTCTCAGTCCTTTTACCAGCACTTTGCTAACTCTTCCAAGAGGCTCAAACGACCCCGACCATCCGATTGCGAAGTCCCACAAGGGACCTGCCATCTTCTACATGGCGAAGGTTTCCGATGCCGTCAAGGCGTCTCCTTCTGGTCTCCAGTGGTTCAAAGTCTCCGAAGACGGTCTCGATAGCTCTGGCAACTGGGGCGTCGACCGCATGATCAACAACGGTGGTTGGACGGAGATGACTATGCCATCTTGTGTCGCTCCAGGCCAATACCTCCTCAGGGCTGAACTCATCGCCCTGCACAGCGCGAGCTCGACCGGCGGCGCGCAATTCTACATGGGCTGCGCGCAAATTAATGTCTCGGGATCTGGATCGAAGATTGGCAGTACCGTCAGCTTCCCTGGTGCCTACAGGGCGGACGATGCGGGTATCAAGCTCAGCATCTACAACGCCCAAGGTCAGCCCAAGGGCAACGGAACGCCTTACAAGATTCCTGGTCCGGCGAAGCTCCAATGCTAGAGCAATAGCATGTCAAACCAGGTAGAAACTGAACACCATGGAGCCTACGTTGCCACAAAGTTATCTGTTTTGCTTCCTTTGTCCCAATGTAGTCCGCAGACCTGTTCGGATTTTTTCTTGTACAAGGTGATAGGAGACGCTGAGTGACTTGGATGGGCGTGCGCAGTCGGAGGTAATTCCGGGGCTTTGGGGCTTTTCGCGAGCATCTTTACGACCTTCTATGTACATACTGTAAGCGTAAAATTGGGAGATAAAATGCTGGTGGCCGAGTAGCAATATCCAATCAATGCGTCACCGAGAACAAAAGTGGTATGTGATGGTGATGTGATGTGTCGTTACAGTCATGCGCTCGTGCCTGGGCTGTGCAAGTGTACGGGCTGGTCGCACAACGGTAAACGGTGAGTGAGCCTTGCAGGTACCCCGCTTCAGGCGCGTCCACGGAGGAAAATGCAAAAGCACAAAGAGATAGAGTTAATACCTAAGTAGGAGTTTGAAACAGTTGTAACTATGTCTGAGCTACATGCATCTAAAAATCTTGCGCTTTTCGCAGCATTCTAAACAGCGTTGCGTTCGCCGTAGTCTATGAATGTAAGACAATGTAAGATGGTGATGGTGGTTTCTTGTGCCGCATTCCACCGGTAGATGGGCGGTTAGCGGACATGGTCGTGGTGGGCGCCGGCCCCACCACCCAACAAAATTCTGCGTTTGAAGAACCACTTAGCCAATGAATGAAGTCGTTCATTCGGACGTGTCTGGTGGTCTAGACAAGTCCAGGTGAGGTTGTCTTTGCCCCGCTGTGGTCCCATTTGCCCAAGTAAGTCCCCAGTGACCAACTTTTGAACAAGGATATAGATCTTGCTGCTGAGCTATCTTCCATCAATCATCACAACCACAGGAGTCGTGCCAGAGTGGTTAATGGGTATGACTCGAATAAGCTGTTCGTTTAGAGCAGCTTGAATAGATATCATATGCCTTCGGGCGCGCAGGGTAAGAAATCACTTCTCCACAACTACACATCCACAAGACAAGCAACTAACAGCGTTTTCAGTTCGAATCCTGCCGGCTTCGCATTCTTTTTGCCCTTTTTAAGGTCCTGTAAAGTCTACTGAAGCGTAGTAATAGTTGTGGTGGAGAAAAAGGAGTGAATTGGTATTTTTTGCGCACAAAACCACCTTACCTTGACCGATTTTGAATCTGAGACATGCAAACACTTCTACAATACAAAAACATTCATTCCAGCACAAACAAATGCTCATACCTAGGTGTGGGGGTAAAACACAATTTTTGGTCATGTGAGACTTGGAGGGCTCACAGACCCCACTTCGGCCGACGCACGCAGTGCGCAACTTCAATCCTTCCACAGCGTTCAAACACAACCATCCATCTCTTCACACCGCTAATGCTCTAGGATTTTGATGCGCATCGTCTTCTCTTTGCCTCGGGTCATCGCATGCTGATTTCCAGACTCCGGGGGTGTAAGCCTGGTCCCTTGCGAGGGCGATCGGCATTCACATGCTACTCACGAGCTCCTCGCCGGGTGCGTCAACACAACAACGCATGCTTTGATCTTTATCGAAAGGGAGGACGACGCGACGCACGAGTGGTACAGTAGGCCTGCTTGGATCGCTCGCTGACGAAGTCATTGCAACACGCTTGAGGAGACATACGCGCGTGTTGAGCGAGGCAGGTGATCTTAGCACAGGCTTGCGACCTACGGGGAGAGTGCAACTGTCGCAAACTTTGCCAACGGCGAAGCCTCTTACCTACAGTAAGCTGCTCATAGCGGGGGCCTAAGACATAGAACACCCTGTACCCGACAGACTTACCACGACCCTCGTTTTGGGTGATGTACCGCCATTGCTAGTTACAGCCGGTGCATCATCAAACATCTCGGTAATTTTGTATGAAGGGAACATAACTTCATGATGCTAACAGTGCCAAGGGAATGAACAAGCAGACGACACCCACAGGAACCATCAGCTTCGTAAAAGTTTCTTGTGTGGGCAGATGCTGCCTTGCTAGCGTACATGGTTTCCGTACCTTGGCCGCGGCAACACTTGAGTGACGCATTCAGCCCTACATCTTCTCGCAACAGTAATCGATATATATGTACTCAAGTGGTCCAGCAGAACAATCGACATGTTGCTCTTTGCAATTCCCCCAAATCGCTAGATTGTATGCAACAGACGTGACGGTCCTGTCATCGTCTTCGCAGAAAACCTTGGCGCCATAGAAGAAAGTCCTAGGCTGACAATATCCGTCTTTCTGGAACATGTTCTCGATATCGGCTTGATTGCAGTTGCCTTCTCCAAAGACGACACCCTGCGTCGCGGAGCACTGAGTCTGCATGTTGCTAGAGATACAAGTCAGCTCGTAGTCTCGTCCGGACACCCTGGCGATTCGGATAGATAAAGACGAACTTGACGATCAGACAGCTCATGGCGGTGCCAACACCAACCTGGCCGTTTGGACAGCCTTTGCCCATGACTGAACGAGCAAAGAGCGTAAGGGCTCCGGCAGCGGCCAGCTTCATGCTGTTTGCGTCGCGTCTAATTGCCGACTATGTCCCAAAGTACGATGTGCTCGTACAGGATTTGAAGTCTCGAAAGCGAAGCCAGGTGTATGAATAGTATGAAGATGAAGGTTCTTGAGGAGTGAGAAGGTAGTTTGCAAGACCCACCGCGTCAATTGTCGCCTGATATATGATTCCCTGGAATTTTATACGGCCGTATGGCTTCACAGCAGTGATATTGTTGGGCCAGTCGGTGACCGACCGCTAAATCTCATTGCAGGATTATCGATACCATAGTCCCATAATCAGAAGGACTAGAAGGACCAGAAGGACCATGACTGGGTACATGTAGATCATGCTTTTAGCCTAAGCTTGTTGCTGCATGCTCTTCGCCGGGCACGTTGCATCCCCATAACTATCACCTCTCAAGTGGCCTTGGGTGCCGACCCTAACTCTATACCTCTGAAATCTCGGGTGCTGTAGCTGTGTGATCGTCCTGAATACCTCTTTTGCGTTATACAGCGAACGGGGTCGTGCAGGAGGGATATGCCATAGTGTCGACAGGGACATCACCCAGCCGAATGATCTAATCTTCAGGCGATCTTCGCCCATAGCTCGAAGCGTACATTGCTCGATGAGCTGACGTGAGAAGGTATAGACAAGCTAGTTCACCAACATGCATCTAGTCTTCCGGCGAGCCTAGCTAATCGCTCGAAGCGTACATTGCTCAACGAATTAACGAGAGAAGGCACAGACAAGCTAGTTCACCAAAATGCTTAGCCGCCTAACGAGATGCTTGACCCATACACTCTGTCAGACCAGCTCACTCTAAGATATATGACCAAATGCATAAGCCCTCACTCGGATTACTAGCCAATCACCTCTGACGCATCACAGCACCTTTGCCTAGGGCCTTGACTTATCAGAATCTTCATCAACACTGCCCGGCCGTGGTTTCTTTGCTGATCTTCTCGTAGTTCGTGAGCAGGACGTTAAGAGTCGCATTGCTGAGATTTGGAACGCTGAGCACCTTTCGCAGTGTCTCGTTGTTGTCGTTGGCTACGATAACACCGCTCCTTCCTCGTGCATTATACTACTCACTGACTAGATGCTGAGGTAAATAGTTAGGCCACGATTACAGCGCACCTTCCTTATGCCTTACGGTTCTGGCTAACTGGACCTTGGGATGCTGAGGTAAACGTTTGGGCTCGATGACAGCGCTCCTTCCTCATGCCTCATGGGTCTGACCAACCAAGCCTCACCAAGCTCCTACGTATCAAAGAGAGCATCTCACTTCCTGTCAACGCCCCCGCTCCCTCGATCACACGTCCGACAATGCCACCAAAGAAAGGACAAGACAACAAGAAACCTGCTCAAACACCTGCTCAAACACCTGCTCAAACACCTGCTCAAACACCTGCTCGAGCACCTGCTCGAGCACCTGCTTGAATACCGCGCCAGCAGAGCAACACATTGACGACTACACCCTACAGCGTATCAGCTCCGCCAACGCCTACCGAAGTTTACGACGAGGAAGAGAACGACTTTAGCATCAACGTCCATACCAGTCTTATGGAAGACGACGAGATCAGCAGCGGAGATGAAGATATCGCAGCCAATATCCCACAGGGATGTGCCGTTAGCGACGACGATCTACTTGATGACCTGAGCCCTACCGACATCGAGGCGCTCGTCCAGCGGCTTCTCCCTGGCATTTGCCAGCAAGGTAAGCTACACGTACTCGTACAAGATGTGATGTACTCCGGCATACTGACTTTATGCTTGCAGATGTCCAAGACTTCCTCGCCCAGATTACTACACACAATTCGCCGCCCTTTACCATACCACGCCACGAGCGAGAGCCTAAGAGCTGGCCCTCGACGTACGAAGAGTCGGACCTGTTGTGGGAAGAGGGGGCCAAGGCTGAGCGAGCAATCAAGCTGCCTGTCGGAACCAATATGCCGAAGTGGTTGGACATGTCAGAGGATCAGCTAGGTAAGTTTTCTTTGGTACTTGGGATCTAAAAGGCGGCTGAACTAACTGTGCCCTTGCAGTCAAGTACACTGGGAGCATCCAAGACAGCCTGGTTCTAATCACATCGTATCCAACAGCACGCGTTGGCAGTACGGTACAAGCCTCCTACGGGACGACGATGGACCTCTCCAATATATCGATGTCAATGCTTTATGCGAAGTTGGGACTGCACCTAAAGTCATTCCGACCGACCGGCGCCCTCCACATCAACGCTTTCCCGCGTCGCGTCAACAGAAAGACTGTGCCAACAGGCCAAAAGGTTTTGGAGAAGCTTCCGGCTGTCCTACGAAACTATTGGCAGTGTGTCGCGCAGGAATGGCTGGCAAGATCGCAGGCAAAGATCGCCCTACTTGTCGGAGCGGCTGCGGTCACTACCTATCTGTCATATCTAGACGCGAACGATGTTCAGCACCAGCAAATATGGTTGGCTGATGGCAACAATGTAAGCTATAACTGTATGAACTGCACATGAGACACATACTGACTTCGTACTTCTATAGGAGTACCAATCAAGCAAGACACCACCGTGTTGGATCGAATACAACAATATCAAACGCATCGCATTCTCAGTTCCACACCCTGAGTATTTTAACCGCTACCGCGGCACTGTAGTCACCCACACGATGAGAGCTAATGCGCTTAAAGAGCGTTTCATTGATTACGCGATGGTGAAGGTCTGGGGTACGGCACACCTACAAGGTTTTCTTAGCTCGACAAAGTACCGATTTCAGACCACAACGGGTATCATCCTGCGCATGTCTGAATTCGAGAACTACGGCGCAGACAACACCACACTTCGCAAGATTCTCAGTATCCCCAACTCAAGCAACGCCACCCTTAACGTCCTCCTCACCGGCTACAAGAAGATAAGCAAAGAGGAGGTTGAAGGGATCAAGGCGATGCGGAGGGCCATGGACGTCGAACTCACGGAGAAGCCATCATACTGGGATGGAGCGGACGTCATATCGAAGTACGGCAACCACGCAGCTACCTTCAAGTTGATCGCAGAGCGGCGGGAGGGGCCCGAGGCAACCTACCAAGCCCAAAACGCAACCCCTTGCCTTATCGCTATACGAGATTGAAGAAACCCCTTTCTGACACGATATAACACCACGGTCGCGGGCCTTCTCGCGAAGGAAGAGATGAAGAAGCAGAAAGCGTGCGCGCGGAGGAAGAAGAGGACAAGCAAGATATGGAAGAGCAAGAGCTAGAGGAGGCATCGCTGGAAGGAGACGACAGTATACCCGCAGATAACGAGAACGATGATGATCACGAAACCCAGGATATCATCCGCCGCTGCGCTATCACCGATGCGGCGCTCTTTGATGAGATAACTGTCCAGCAAGTCAAGGATTTCGTCAAGCGTATCGTGCCTCAGCTATCAAACACCAAACTTGACGCCTTTGAGAAAGAGAGTCGGAAGCATTTAAACTCGTCTCCATCATACTTGGTACCGGCCAAAGTACGCGACTCGACAGATTAGCCATCAACGTATGATGACATAAATATGGTCTGACGACATGCGCATATTGGGGAAAAGGCAGTCACGCTAAAGAAGACCCCAGTTTGGCTCACCAGGGGAGAAGAGAATCTGGAGAAGCCTATAGGCTCTCTACGCGACAGTCTCACGATGATATCGTCATCACCCGCTACCGATGGAAACAGTACTATTCATTATCAACAAGGAATCAGCCTAGACTTATCTGATTCCTACATACTATTACTTATCGCTAAAGTTAGTCTGTATCTACCATCTCTCTAACAACACAGAGCCTTGCACGTACATGTAACGCCTCGTCACATCGACCGGAAGCGGGTAACCAGCGGTACGACTCCGAGTCCCCAGTGGGATGGCTTGAACACGATGAGCAAAACAGACCTCGGGACTGTGAGGCGGCTCAGACTAGTGGTATACCAAGCCGAGTCCTTTGACAGAGATCGAAGTGTTCCTGTCGCCAATAAGAAGCATCAGTTCGCCATTCAGGAGAGGCTTGTCGACTAGACTATCGTACTGCTATGGAATCAAAAGCATCTTCAGACGTCTATGAGCTCAGACGTCTACGTGCTCAGATGCGTACCATGCCGTTCTGACCAGCCTGTTGCTGTCTTCCTTATCCGATCGCATATGCTATCCTCACACAGACTGCTGTTGGCTTCATTGATACACATGTAGACTCTCGCAACCAAGCCTCTCAGTCCACCGCGACTGACAACCCAAGCCTCAACGCAGCATGAAGCTATCGCCTCATGCAAGGAAGAAACCAAACTCACACCCTGGAGCCTACATCAGCGTCAGGCTACCAACTTTGCACCTTTTTATCTTAATGTAGGCTGCAGACCTGTTTGGGTTCTCATTGTATAAGGTGCGATGGTCAAGATAGCGGGCACGATCAGAGCGAGAGCCGAAGCAAAGGAAAGGTCAAACGATCGATGGAGCGACATATCGAGGTAGTGAACCAGGCGCTTCTTGATAGCGGTGCCACGCATCTCGTTACCTAGGTAGTGATGACTGATCCTCTGATTCAGTCAAAGTATTGGGGATGCGTGAGAGCGAGAGAGACGCGCGTCATATGGTCTCTCTGCTCTATTGTTGTACATGCAATCCACCTCGTGGGCACCTCCGCTTCATAGTACTCGGAGGTGTGCGGTCATATAGCCCGGTAGGGTAGGTGGTGCTTCTCTTCCTAGGTAGGTGCTTTATATAGACATCAACCCCTGCGTGTCCGATAGTAAGACCGATCTTAAGCCCTCGTCAGCTATTACCAGGTTACGATCAAGTCGTCTTAGTATGACGTCAGAATGTAGTGACCTATGTTACGGAGAGTGAGCGTGGTGCTATACTCGTGACGAACAGTGTTGATCGAGGGAGCAGTGGGGTGTGAGGAAACGATCAGTAGGTTGTCCTTGTCGCTTCCTGCAAACTCGACGAGCGTTTTCATGGGCATTTCGATACCAGCGAGGAGCTCAACAACCTGTTTCCCTTGCACAGCCATATCCCAGAGTCTGTCTATTTCATCATCGAAAGAAAGCTAGGTCGTTGGCTGTCTGTCCTGGGATGAGATGAGGAAGAGCAGACAAAGCTCTGCGTATGAACGAATCTCAACTTGGAAGCTTTCCTGACTGGACAACACTGGCTGTATTCACTCTATCATCGTACTCATCTCATCGAATGATAGCTCATCAAACAAGACTTTATCTGCAATAGACCATCAATAGATGGTGCCGTCATCGGGGACCTTCATCGCTGGGTTAGCTATCGTCACTGCCGCCGGTGACTACAACGAGGCTTTCCTTCTCCAACTCTTAGCCACACCAAGCCTTGGAGCATAACGTACAGTCTGCCGTACTAGTCCGTCACCGTAAACCCCAGCGAACACCTCCAGGGTACAACTTCAAGCCTAGCTTCGACCCAGCGAACTCTCTGGTAGCGAACAATACCAAACATCTAGAAAGCTCGGATTCGCGTTTCCAATTCCCAAAATGCCTACCACATAACGCCGCGCCTTCAGTTTTGTTTCAGACCCCAGGACACATCAAAGCAGCGAAGGAAAAAGAAAACCCACCGAATCCTCACCTCGGCTTTACAAGAGAGCCACAATATGCACGAGAGAGTCAGTATCAACCGCAACGGCATCAACGGCATAACGAACCCTCCCTCTCAGCCCACAAACGCCCAGATGCCATGACCTTCGCACATGCTCTCCAAATGCCGAAGCCCTTCATTTCCCAGAATATGTAACAAACGCACCGACGCACACAATCCCCGTTGCAAGGCCAAAGCAAGCGCGAGAACAAAAAAGCACGCATGTCAAAACATCAAGACAAACCGACCCTTCTTTCCCTCTCTGGTCGGGAAATTTGTCGATACCCTCGGGGAGATCACGGGTCCGCACTCTCAGCCTCACGGCGACAGCGAAAGGGAAACGAGCAAGGACGGAGGAGGGGTGGTGAAACAAGAAGGGAGGCCGAAATCGCCGAAGTCTTTCCCCACCTTTTGCCGTACCCAGCCACTTGGACTACGGGCACCTCGGAGTCGGCTCTTTCACGAGGCAATTTCACGCATCAAAGTGCGGAGAAAAAAGGCGGTCAAGTTCGTCTGGGTCACTTTGGTTTCAATTTTGCCTTGGGTAACATTGCGCTGCGTTGTAGGTGCGTTTCAATCCCAATTCGCATGACCTCGAGCCTTTCTCGAAAAGGGTGGTGATTAACTGGGTGATCGACGCAAAAGTATGGGGAGGGGGAGGGAGACGTATGTTCATTGGTGGTAGTTGTACAGCGCTTTAATGGTGATGTGCAAGGCTGAGGCTGAAAATGTTGGGCTAGTGTGGCTAGGGGAGGCTGGGGCATCGCGAGGGCTCGCGTGACACACAACCATGTGCAATAACTGGTGCACAGAGCTTGAATAGCATGGTATGTTGATGACGTTGGTTGTGTGGCTGTGGGGATAATGCTCGTAATGGCGGTTAGTCACCAAGTTTGTAGGAGTAGTTGCAAGACCGCTTCGAGTGTCACAGCAAACATATCATGTAATGTGACTGATTTTGATTGGCGGAGGTGGTAGATAGAGTAGCTAGAAAATGGGGGGTGCTTGTTGGCAGGGTGGCTACATGGCGACAGGCAAGAGGAGCACACATGGGGATAGGGAGCGGCAGGACAGGAACTAATGCCCTCAGGTAAAGGAATGGCTTGGACGAAATTACCGTCCGTAAACAAAGAACAAAGACAAGAGAGCGACCGTGGTGCTCTTGTGCGCCGGATGGAGTTATAAGTGACCCATTCAATTGCCCGGTATCTAACACCCCACAAACGCCCAGTTGAGGAAACAAGAAAAGGTTGGATATAACACAAGAGAGGTGAAAAGATTCTTCGGTGCAGCCGCCACAAATCTTTCTTTATCCTCGTCAAATGCTGGTCTGCACAACGGTATGGTGGTTCCGTCGTGTACTGAATAGTAACGGGCTAAATCGCAAGATGATTCTTACTCTCGTCGTCAAAGCGTGATTGCGCGCACCGTGGTGCGAGACATGGTAGTGAAGGAGATTAGGTAGTTGCGTAGTCAGGGTATGGAGGTGTTCGTCAGCGACGCCAGTCGTGAGAAAGGGTCGACGTGAAGAGCGCACGTGTTGCGCCAATTGCCCTGTTTGAGGCACTTATACGTTGGTAACCTAATGGAGTGTCAGTGAGTGGCGTTTCGTCAGGCGGCATCGTGGATCGCATACCTTCAATATCCGCCTCGAGTAGTCCTCGTTGTCTGCAATACTGCCGTTGCTCTGCCTCCGGTCGACGAAGCTCGGGTCCAGACGCGAGTCGTTCATGGACGAGTTGCTGGTGTGTAGCTTGCCGCCGTTGACGAAAGCATTTACGTTGGCGGCATTGCGACGGTAGTCTTCTTCTGCTTGGTGCTGACGTCTCCGGCGGAGCAAGAACCATACACCGAACATGATCGAGGCAAGGGCTAGTATGCCGACGACTACGCCCACCGCGATGGCGATTGTGTTTGGTTTGCTGTCTTCTTCGGGCGCCGCAGATGGAGTGGCCGAAGCCTGGGCGGCACTGGTTGATGTTGGAGCAGCAGACGACGGCTTTGGTGCTACTGAGCTGCTGCTCTCTACTTCGGGCTCGTAAAAGTCGACTGGGTTCCGAGTTGTTCCGGTGAGAACGACCCATAGTTTGTCCTTTCCACCACCTAAGCGCTGTCAGTCGGGAGTGAAATAAGGGAAGGTTGTCAGCTTACAGGTCCATGTCTTGTCGCCGCTACACGTGGTGCCACACGTCTCGTTCTTGATCTGCCACTCTTTGGCGGGAATCTCGTCACCACACCAGCATTCCTCGCCGTTCGACAGACCCATAACGGGCTTGTTTTGCTCAATGCAAACGAGTTGACAGTTACCAGGCGACTGGAAGTTGAAAGAGCCGTGGTTCTCGAGTGGGATTCCGGTCTCGAAGCAACCGATGCTCACCATGGCACTTGCTCCTAAGGTCTTTGTTGGTGTGGTGATAGGGTCCGTGACGGTCGCCCATGTTGGCGTCGGCTTCTCTTCCGCGGCGGCCATCATGACCATCGAGGCCGCGGCCAGGGCGGAGGCGAGTCTGATGTACACCATTGTGGTGATGTGCTTGGTTAGTTAGTGGTGCGCGTCGGTCGGCGGTGACAGCGTGTCGCACGGAGGGCTATATGCAGAGGCGTCGACACATGCAAGGCCCGGTGGGCGTGGATAGGTCGGGCGGTCCGAGTCGGCGCCGGTGGTGATGGTGGTGAGAGAGCGAGCTGTTGGGGTTCGGCGTGGATGTAAGGCTGAGTGGATATGGGGATGGCGGCGGAGATGGAGTCGTCGACAGGCGCGATGGACTGGGACTGGAGGCTCGATCAACGATGCCCAGGGCCGTCTGGTGGTGTTGAAACGGGGGGCGTCGTGGCAGAAGTCGAGGCGATGAAACTTGTCGGCTGCCCCTTGGAGAGAACCCCCGTAGAGTGACGCAAAA